GGAAGAAGAACTTGGTGCAAGATTGATTTCTTATTCTACATTCTTATTCAAAACTCGGTGATGTCTTCCATAATAATTTCTTGTTTTTCTTTCATTACTATGAGTAACTAAATCTAATTTTAGGGCGAATAATGTAATCTATTTGAAACCTTTTATTTCTTTTATTTGAGATTCTTATTTGTTATGATTATATGTGTCGATTTTAATCATATTCTCAATACTTTGAATTTTCAGACCAATTATTCAATGATTTAGTGAACAATAATCACGTAGAAATACGAATTATTTGTATAGACCACATATTAAAATTCGATAAATTAATATAATGTGTAGAGATACCTATATTAATTACTGCAATCGTAAATAAATTCTTAAAAATATTATTTCGTTTAGCTAAATTTGATCGCATGGAGATATGAAATTGAAGTAGTTAAATAGGTTCAATGAAAATTCGAGGGGGATAAATTGAATACAATAGAAGAATTTGATTGAACACTACCTTAGATTTTATGAATCTTTATTTAACACTTAAATGTGATCAATAGGTGAAATTGTTCCACCCTAATATCCATTTATTATTTGAATTTTCAATCATTCTTCGTGTGTATCATTGTTCTTGTTTATTTTCATCAAATAGAAGTTAAAAATAAATAAATTGAGTATTAAAATATAATTCTCGTGGGAAACTATAATCCGGACTCAAAAGGTCCACTTTACTACTTGTTACAATCCGTACACTTGCGAGATATAAAATTGACAGAAAGTTTTTTGCGCCGTTGTCAAGGGACTATTTTTCTTTAATATTGGTTTGGTTATTTCTTATTTTTGTTTGATTTTTTCCCTCTTTTTCAATTGACCTACTTATTTTTCTTTGTTCCATTGACAAGAAATGAAAAGAAGCAAGAGGTAAAAAAGTCACAATGATTGATTCCAACTTAAATTAAGGTGACGTGCTTTTTGAAGCATTCCTAATCAGACTAAAACTTAAAAGGTGGGGATATGATCAACCTATCGAATTTGATAAGGATGGTTGGCCGAAGGTTTAAACTTCAAATCAATTGTTTATCAAGATATCAAACTGACAGGTGAATATTGTGGTGCATTTCATTATACTAAAAATTGCTTATATTTGGCAACTCCAATGGATGTGAGGGAACAAATCTTCGATTATCCGTATAAAGAATATTTTGATTATAGCGAAATAATTATGGGAGACATCATCATGTAAAAATGTAAAAAGATTGAAGATCAAATAATTCTAGATGAACTAAATAACATGTCGACGAAGGATTCCATTCAACCCGATGAACTAACGAATATAGATGCAGAACGTGTAGAAACGGATGAATTAATCGCAAAGGAGCCAGATGAATTAGTTGCATTCAATGAAGATGAGATTAGTTTGCAAACATCAAACTCCATTGAATTTGTGATTAAAGACGATGAGAAGATCGAAATATTTTTGATTGAGTTCGAAGCAAGCAGTTTAGGTAGGTCATACCATATTCAAAAAGGAATATACGATTCTGGAGGACGTATGAGATATAGAACAAAGTCAAATTAAGCAAACTAAGTAAGAGCTCCATAACTATATTCAAAGTGCCATGAAGCACTTGTGCAAAAGTCTAGCCAAAGATTTTAAATTAAGCACTTCTTGGGAGGCAATCCAAGCTTTTTTTTTTAAATATATTTTTTTCAAGTTATAGGATAGTTTAGTTTATTTTTTAGTCTATTTAAGAATCATCACCCATATCTCATTTACCCTTAGGTCATTGAGTAATTAAGTTGGTTATTAGATGTTTGAGTTAAGTAACCCTTGTTCTATGAGTTTAATTTTTCAAATTTGATTTTTCAAAAACATGACATCACGGAACACTCAAACTAACATGGACACAGAGAAAATATGACAAATCTCAAGTTGGGGGAGAGAATGTGGAAGAAGAGTTGATCAAATGCAAGATCAAGATACCACAACATAATAGGCAATATCGACATTTCATGGAAGTCTTCCTCATTTTCCTTTAAGTTTAACATTGAAGACAATGTTTAGTTTAAGTTTGGGGGAGTGTATTATTATTAATTGTCTAATTACCTATCTAATTTTTTGTCTGAGAGTTGGACAGTTTGGCTTATAATGACGATTTACTTTGAGATTTGGTGTTAATTTATGGATTGTGGATCGGATGAATGCTATACTGATTGAAACTTAACCTTGTAAAATTAGATATTATACATGCACTAGGTTGAGTTTAACACTGTGATGAAATAAGTTGATTCATTTGTTTGATAGGTTGAGTTAATTGAACATAGATGCTTTACCTTAACGATATTCAGTTATTTCTCCTTAGACCAAAGTTAGCACAGTTTGGGGTGATTTATAATGGTAAGAAAATGCGGAGGTGAATGTGGATTCTATGTGTGAAATTTTATGTGTGGATTGTCTTAGACTAACATATAAAACTTGGTAAAAGTCTTAAATTGGAGGTCAATTTGTCTGAATAAATGTGTGATATGGGCATTGCACTAATCAAGACATATACATTTGAAATTTAATAACTAATCTTTGAAGTCTTCATGACTCGAGTAATTAAATCTGCAAGGATATCTTAAAACCTGGTGCCCTAAAATCGTCTGACTTGAGAGTTATCGGTCTAAAGCTCGCTATAGAGGTGTTTTAGAAGGCAATCAAATATAAAGCTGCACTTGAAACAAAAATTCATTTTCTTCGAAGTTTTTTTGACTCGAGTCAGTAAGCCTGTAAGGGTCTTAAAAATCTGTTACCCTAAAATTATCTGATTTGGAAGTTATCGGCCTAAAGTTTGCTACAGGGGTCATTTAGAAAACTTAAATGGAGAGAATAAAACAAAGTAAAAAAGAAAAAACAAGTGCATAAAAAAAGCAAAAACACTAAATACTTTAGTTAAGTCCTAACACTTATTTGAGGGAATTTTACTTTCGATGAAGGATGATTAGCTAATTGAGTAGTGGCGGCCAAATAATCAAATAAATGGAGAATACTTGTTTACTGAAGCGTTGACTTACAACTAATAACGTCCACCTAAACTTGAGAGGGTGAGGATAGTAATGAAATATTTACATACTAGGAATGTGTGAAAAAATGTAAATTTGAGGGTGTGTAAATCACATGAGAAATGTAAGGACATATTTGACCACAGAAAGGTGGCGTCTCAGTCGCGACGTTGAAGTGTCGCCTAGGTGCATCTAGAGAGCGTTTTGACCCATTTTGAAGTCCATAAAAGTTATACTTTCTACACACACAATGAGGTATATATAAATACAAATTTTCATACTTTTGAAGGGGGATTCACACATTGAGTTGTAAGAGACATATTTGGAGATTAAAGAGAAGAATTCAAAAGAACAAAACAACAAGTAATTCAAGAGTTGAAACATAAATTGGAAAGGGAAGAAGATCTTAGTGCAAGATTGATTTCTTATTCTATATTCTTATTTAAAATCCGATGATATTTTTCATAATAACTTCTCGTTTTTCTTTCATTATTATAAGTAGTTAAATCTAATTTTAGGACGAACAATGTAACTTATTTGAGACAATTTATTTCTTTTATATGAGATTCTTATTCGTTATGATTATATATGTGTATTTTAATCATATTCTCAATGCTTTGAATTTTCTGAATTTTAATTATGTTCCCATTTTCAATCATACATTTTCACAATAAATTATTTTTCACGCAAATTCAAATTTTTTCTTACTTTATAATCACACGTTCTTCCAAAATTTAATATTCAAAAACTCATTCTTAAATAAAAAAAAACTTCTGTCAAACAAGGGCTGAATATCTAGAGTTTTATATAGAGTTTTAAAAAGTTTTGATTAAATAAAATTAATTAAACTCTTACATCAAGATTTAATTAGCGAATGGATCTAAAGTGGATGTCGTTAAATGGGTATCCAATTTATTAAAAAAGATTCTGGGCTCCATTATATTGTATTTTTGGAGAAATTATTTTGAAATAGTAAATTTTTTTAAAAAAATGTGTAGCTTTAAAAGAAGGAATTTTTTGAATTTAAGTGTAATATTAGTTTACTGAAAAATGTATAATTGATAAAAAAAAGAGATAAAAAATATATTTTAAATAAAATGGAGAGTGCGAGGAAAAATAAAGACTAGATGGCTCAACAAAAATAAGCCCCCGTTTGGTACCTTTTTTTTCAAAATATATTTTTCTCTCTATTCTTTTCAATCACACATTCTTTATTAAAATAACATTATACGTAAATAAAAAACTTTTCATTATTTTTCAATCACATACTTTCTATCAAATTACTATTTTAAAATATATTTTCTGAATTTGAATTAACGTGCTTTTCGCAGCAAACTCTTTGAATATAACTGTTAGTCCGGTCTGGCGTTCGATTCTTCGATTTCAGTTCGCCAAATTTCAACTTAAAACAAAACTCGAGAGAAAACCTACCCTTTCCTCTTTTCCTTCTCGAAAATTTCTGTCTCTTTCGTGGAAAATCTAAAGTGGATGTCGTTAAATGGGTATCCAATTTATTAAAAAAGATTCTGGGCTCCATTATATTGTATTTTTGGAGAAATTATATTGAAATAGTAAATTTTTTTAAAAAAATGTGTAGCTTTAAAAGAAGGAATTTTTTGAATTTAAGTGTAATATTAGTTTACTGAAAAATGTATAATTGATAAAAAAAGAGATAAAAAATATATTTTAAATAAAATAGAGAGTGCGAGGAAAAATAAAGACTAGATGGCTCAACAAAAATAAGCCCCCGTTTGGTACCCTTTTTTTTCAAAATGTATTTTTCTCTCTATTCTTTTCAATCACACATTCTTTATTAAAATAACATTATACGTAAATCAAAAACTTTTCATTATTTTTCAATCACATACTTTCTATCAAATTACTATTTTAAAATATATTTTCTGAATTTGAATTAACGTGCTTTTCGCAGCAAACTCTCTGAATATAACTGTTAGTCCGGTCTGGCGTTCGATTCTTCGATTTCAGTTCGCCAAATTTCAACTTAAAACAAAACTCGAGAGAAAACCTACCCTTTCCTCTTTTCCTTCTCGAAAATTTCTGTGTCTCTTTCGTGGAAATTTCTCTTTCCTATTAGATCGCCTCTAAACTTTGGTCCTCGCCCAACTCATCAGTACTCAATATTCTTGTGGGATATTACAGAAGGGATTATATCATAATCAATTTCAAAAAGGGTGGGATAAAAAGTGTGTTTTTTTGTGGGATTTGCTATGGCTGATGGGTTGACTGTGATTCCAGCATCGGTTCTCCGTAACCTCTCAGATAAGCTCTATGAAAAGCGCAAAAATGCTGCTCTCGAGGTTTTATTTTATACGTGCTTTTGTTTTGGGCTACAATTTTGCTTGATGCGATAATTTTCTGAATTTTTTATTCTAGGTTATGTTTTTATTCATTTTTTGGGTTTGGTTGGATCTAGGTGGAAGGGATAGTGAAGCAATTGGCCGCAGCTGGAGATCATGATAAAATTACTGCGGCTATCAATTTTTTGGCTAATGAATTTACTTATTCACCTCAGGCAAACCATCGCAAAGTAAATTTTATCTTTCACTGAAGATTTTTTTAATTGATACGTGGGTGGGGATTTATCCATTTAATTTCATACTCTTACGTGTTGAATTATCCTGAAAGATCCATTTTTTGACAAAAAAATTCCAGGTTTTGGTGGAGCAAATACATAATTCGTTTTATTGTATTATATACTCGTTGCCTTTCTTTTGGTTCAGGGAGGATTAATAGGATTGGCAGCAGCTACAGTGGCTTTGTCTTCGGAAGCATCACAACATCTCGAGGTATGAACTTCTCATTGAGTTCACAGCAACGTTCAAGAATAATTACCACATATTTACGACTTTTCTTCAATTGTGAACCATTTTTATTTTTATTTTTTTGGGATAAAAATGTTTTTAGTGTTTTCCCATTTGGACATCTGTTAAAAAAATTCAAATGGCACCTTTGAGCATGTAAAATGCTTTCAGTCTCTCAAATTTTGCCCAAGGTGAAGAAAAATGGCTAAAATCAACTACATTATCTGACGATATATAGTTTTATTGAGTTTAGATCTGTCAATTTACATATAGAGACTCTTTTTATTTGTTCAGTGCTAGTATATTGTAGTGAGTAAATGATTGAAAAGGGATGCTAATCCCGTAACTCGTTGATCGTCAATTGTGCAGTTCGTGATTTTTAACTATGACGAGCATGAAAGTGTGATCTTTTTGATTTTACATCTTTCTTGGGATAATTACTTTTCTGTTTGTCATAACCTTGAAATGGTTACAATCTAATAATACCTAATTTAACCTTTGTGAGTTGAAGTGTTTGCTGGCACAATGACTAGATTGACATTTTACAAGCCCCATCAACCTATTTGATTTGATATCCAGCTGCACTAGTGCAGAAAGAAATTTCTTGCCACATCCATGTCTTGTAAGTAAATAATTTAATAATATGAAACCGGGCATTAATTGCTTGATTAGGTCACTTAAAAAGTTATGCCATGGTGCATTGAATAATTATTTTGATATTTTCACTGGGATGTTATTTGTCATGTCATGATGGAGATATTTTCTAATGATTTCTTTTATTTACGCTTACAAGATTAAACTCATCTGACCTGTAAAGTTAGAATTTAGAAACATTTTCTTAAAACGACTCTTGGTAATTACAACTTGAAAGTGTTGCAGGAATAGTAGAAGTATGAGTCGAACTCTTACTAATTGATAAATACTCATCCGTTAACCTGTCCGATATCTTGAAGCTTTGTAGTATCAATTATAGCATATTTGATAGAAACCAGAACATCAATTTTATTTTTTACAAAGCATGTTCGGCATACAATCTTTGACAAGACTAGATAATAAGTCGACAAGATTTGAAATTTTTGTTCATGATTTTCTAAAATTCTAGTTATCCCCAACAACAGTTGACAATTGAGATAGCTCAATATGAATTTTGTTGCTTTGTAATACCCTAACTTTTCTCCTCGGATGGAGCTCCCGCCACAATCCAAAACAACCTAGCCACCACAATCCAAAACAACCCAGCCACAACCCTTACCTATCGACGCCAGCGACATTACCATCACACACAGGCGGCGGTCCTTGGTGGAAACCCTAGCGTCGCCGCCCGGATTTCAGCAACTTTCCTTGGCGCGTCGTCCTGGGTAGTAGGGGACGATGCAAACGCCGGCAGCCCACGTGGTAGAAAGGCAGAATACGGCAGAGACTAGAGAGATCTTGGGAGTACACGACATCTCTCTAGATCAGGCCACCTTTTCAACAATCAGGCTGCACCGGCCAATGAATCCGACTGGCGTGTTCTCCCCCACACACGCTGCTCCAGGCGGGCATTTGTCGGCGCATGTGGGTCACGCGGAGCCACTGGAGATGACCCAGACGCAGCTTGATGCTCCGCGATCAATCGACTTGTCTGTTCTTCCGTCGGATGAATAGTGTATACATAATCAGGAGAAAAAGTTAGCACATGTGTGTAGTATGGTATTCAATCATCGATTCAGAGTGGAGGCGAAGGACTTTGCAGTATCTATTAACGATTCCGGTATTTTTAAGATGACAGAATGGGGATCGAAGTTATCGGATGCAATTTATATGGGAAGATATGGTGCACTTTGGATAGTGAATATGGTGGATAGATTGAGGATGACTAGTGAATTGGAGGATTGTGTTTTTAAATTCAATGAGTCTTCAAGAACATTCTTGGAACAACGGTGTGTGAACTGTCGGGGTAGGTATTTGATGATAGCACAATACGGGGAGAGGCGTTGTCATGGTGTCGGAAGGTGCGAAATGAGAGGGATGGGCATCAGTCTCGTAGGTGTTTCAAGCAGTTGTCGATTCATTTGTTGCTGGGGATAAGGCCAAACGTCGAAGATGACTTATGCAGAAGTTACAACAAACTCACAGACCTCGGAGCATGCTGACCAGCGAATGCTACAGCAAAAGGAAAGGGCAGTTAAAGTTAGTGTGAACGAAGGTCCCGACAGTTGTTTGAATATGGCTGAAATAATGGGCCGTGTCCAGGAGTTGAAAGGAGCATTGGATGAATTACTAAGGCTAGTTGGAAGTGGGCCTGAAACGGGCCCCATGGAGTTGGTATGTTGTCACAAGTGTGGGGTTAGGATGGATGAGGATCCAACTGTTGAAATACACTTACGGGGATTGACTTATAAGGAGCTATCATCAAATACAGAACATGAAAAGCAAGGAAAAGTTGAACCTTGTGAGTCTCAGGAGAGGATGGAAGCGGGGTACTACAAAAATGACGACGGGGTTGACTTAGTGGGGTTGAACATGAATTATGTAGACCTCGGGAGGTGGAACTGTTGTCTAAGGAAGGGGAGCCGAGTATGGAGAACTTGGAGACGATGACAATGGGTGAGATGGACACGATCCTGCAAGCTGATAGATTATTACCAGTTGAACAAGCGACGAGACACGCACTAGCGGAGGACTTAGTTTCAGGCATTGTGAAAGAAAACGATGTGACATATTCGACACCAAGGATTGCGAACACATATAATATGATGTACTCTTAAGTTGACAAAAGAAAGCGACATGGGGACCGTAAAAACTCTGGTGTTGTGGGTAGATGGTGCCAAAAAGGGAGAAAGAGATAGTGACGTTATACAAGTGGTGGAAGAAAAAGGACGGTCCTTTGATCATCTGGAGGGCTATCACGGAGAGGAAACATCGGAAGCGGATGTGTTTGAAGTTGGACACCCATCTTTGAACTGGGTTCTACAAAAAAATTCAGGATTTTAGAAAGTTGGTTGGCGTGTCCTGTGATGGATATGAAAGTACACTGCTACAATTATTCGAGGAGCTGGAGGCTAATAGGGGACAACAAATCAGTACACATGGAGGTAAATTAAGAAGAAAGGGTGATCGCGAACTTAAGAGGCTCAAATGATCAGTAAATTATGCCGGTAAGGGTGGCGAGTCTAAGAAAGTAATAATGGGGAGGGTTGATGGAGTGTTAAAATGATGCCAAAACTCATTAGCTGGAA